TAGATTACATTAGGAAATGGTTGAGATTTCCAGTGTTTGCAATCAATTTGTACACATTTATATAAGAAATAAAATGCACTAATTAAAAATAAATAGCTTTCCCCACTCCCTTACGTATTTACTGAACCATCTATCTATAATGAGTCGCTGATGACTTTGCTGATAGTGCTATATAGAGATTGATACGGCGCCTAATTATTCATGATAGTTCAACGCAAAAGCTAACAATTTTCCATGGACATTATCAGTGGCCTTATCAAAATCAAATCAGGTGTAACTTTCAGCCAAATAAGCGTTTATAAATAGTGCGGCAGGCAGCGTTGCATCGACAAATAATGTTCGATGGGTGGAGAGCTAATCAGGGGCATCTCGTAATAGGCAACGGCCTTATCGAATAGTCAGTACATTGCACAATCAGCCTTCAGTACTCGACTCATATTATTCACAATGTGGAGCACTTCCTATAAGTTCTATAATTAATGGATAATAGATAATCCCTTCCATTCCTATACTGCTTAATTTGCTGCACTAATTACCAATAAGCAAAAGGACACTGGCAAGCCTTTTCTTTCCCGATAAATCACTGCTGAAACCCACTGTGCAATGCCGGGCAAAAAGAGCTTCCACAGAGATCTCATGCAATCGTAAAAATGTAGGGAATTAAGTCAGTCAGTGACTGTGTGTAACAGTTAACTGAATTTGTCTCCCCATCTCTCCACCGCCCCTCCACTCTCAAACTCTCTCTCACTCACTGTATTTCGCTGTCTGTGGACGTTGCACAATCGCCGAGAGGGAGCCGAAGCCGGAGCCAAAGGGGAAGAAAGTCTTACTCAATCTTTGCTGCAGTCTGCAGATGTTTTTCCAGAGCCAGAGAAAAAAGTAAAATTCAGCCTGAATGCAGCGAAACTAATTAGTTTTGAGGCTGCTGTTTCTGCTGCTGTAATCGCAGTGGAGCGCAGACAGCGACAATTTTCCCACTATATTTTCACTTTTTATTTATTGTTCGTTACCCGGTTTTCTTTCCACTACGTGCGGCCAAAAGAAAACCGAGGAAAACAAAAGAATTTACGAGATACGAACAAAAACTTTTGGCCTCACTTGGGGCCATGTTGGCGGATAGGGGATTGGGAGTATTTGTGGTACATCCATACAATATATCTCTGTTATGTCTCCCATTGGGATTGTTCTTCTTTTGGGTTCGTTTGTTTCCTAAATAAATTCCATATAAAGACGTATGGAAAATCGTTTATTTGTTATACTTAAATTGTATTCTCGAACCAGATAAATACCAGTTTCCACGCACACCAACCCAAGGCATAGTATTTGTACGATACACGATATATGGATGTAAGAAACATTATACTTGACGGCAAGGTCGAAATTAATTGGTTCTTTGCCATGGAATGGCAAGGCAAGGCATGGCAGTGCATTCTTTTGATTTTCAAACAAGGTAATACTAACGCTAAGTAACATTTATGATTGAGGAACAAATACATATTTAATTAAAGGAAACTTATACTTTTTCAGAACTTTGTAGAAAGATGTTCATTATCATTTAAAGGATAATGAAAGTGTTGCATGTTCATGTTTGGGAGGTTCTTTAGCAAAGTTTGGAGGATTTTTACTTAATCCAAGTCTCAAAGGATAACCGGATACGGTATCCTCGCTCTAGACCATCTACGTACTTCGGAAAATAACCCTTCCCTTACATTGGACATTCAAAATTACAAAAGATTTTATACCAAACCATTATGCTCCAGCCGCCACATGAGCGGAAGTACGAGTCAATAAACTTTCACCCAAGCAACCCAATAAGCAGCGTTTGAGTACAACGGGCACAACAATATAGTGTCAAAGTAATCTATGACCCTCCCTCCCACAAGGGTATCGAATAGATGCCAAGTGCCTCTATATTTGAGTTTATTTTGGATTTCATTTGTTTTTTGTGTGTTTGACTCTGCCTCTTGTCGCTTATTGCCTGCTTAAATAAAAATCAAAATCAAAATCATGGCCATGGCTACTCGTGGTAGCATGCGATTTCACGTTTTCAGTCTCTGTTGATCTTTCAGCCAGAGAGACAGAGAAAGAGACACGCAAAATAAATAAATAAACATGGCTGAATAAATGAATATTAAATGGCCAAAAGCTTTGACCAAAAAAATAATAAATAACTGAAAATAATGCATGCAAACAGAACAGGGTCTTTCGGCTTGAACGAAGTGCTGTATACCCTATCAGATTGGGGAGAGCTATGCTTGATAAGTTTACCCTTTTGATTATTGTTATAATTACTGTTTTATGAATATTATATGGAAAAAACATTCACATTTTAGTTGATTACTTAGTAGTTCCCCCCATAAGGGTATACATATCGTCTATAGGCACAACAAATGTACAGAATGGTAGCCAAAAAGCGATATTCGATACGCAAATAGTAGAAAATGTTTGCGTGTTTTTTTGCCTTATCGGTCGTTTGGCCTGGCAATCTGTGTGGCAAAGTGTGTTGCACAGTGTCTTCTTGTGTGCGTGCACAGTGCCTGCCAATGCCAGAATCGGATTCACAATCGAAGACAATCGGAGTGCGTCAAGACGCGGGCTAGGTTTGAAATTTGATTGACGACAAACCCATATACATAGCAAGCGCGACGCGGACGTGGACGACGTCATCCGCCAAGTATTTTTTTAAAGCTTCAATTGGAACTTGAGGTTTATTTTTTTCTAATGCTGCCGCCCACGTACAGTCCGCAAAGAGATACTTTTACAACACACACAGGCACACACACACACACACAGAGGGCTAAAAACCGCGAGAGCGGAAGCAAACAACTTCGCCAGCATAGAAGTGTGTAAGCGGGCGAGAACACGAGAATGAGTGATGGTGGGGGAAGAATAGGGAAGAGGGAGTGACAAGCTTTTGCGGTTTTTAGTTACACAGAGAGACCCTGACACTGTGGAATGGGCAGCCAAAAAAGGGGATACAATTTAATTACATTTGTGTTTGGTTTGAGCAAACCCCAAAGAAAAATATGTAACTTAAACAAAAACACGAGTGGAACAATTTGAAGGGGAAAGCGTAAAAGAATTCGAATTTCTGTATATATTTTGCGCTGTTTTTGATTTTTTGCCTCGAATTTAGTAACTATTGATTGTACTTAGATCTCCCACTTGTACCACTGTGCCTGTGACGGTGTCAGTTTTTTTTCCTTCTTGCCTTGTTCTATTGTCATTTACTTTGTGGCAAGCAATTACATGCGACAAGCCAAGCGGCGGCAGTTGTTTGTTGTTGCTGGTTCTGCTGTTGATATTTGATGTTTGTTGCTTATGGGCTTCGTTTCTGTAGGCGTGGCCCAGTTTCTTGCGTTGTGGTTGTTGCCACATTTGGCAGAAACAATTTATGTCAAGCCGAAAGCCGCCTGCTTTTTGCGTCTCTGCGCGAAAACATGCGTAAAAGTAGCTGCGAAAAGACGGCCACACTTTGTCTGTGCCGCCCCATCAGACACCCTTTCACACCACACCCACCGTACCCCGCCTTCCCCGCTCCGTAATTAAAATGCCAGGCAACAAACACAAAGTTTTTTTTTGTTTTTGGCAAAAAGTGTGTGTAAGGAGAGCGCCAGATGAGATGAAGAGAGTCTGGGAATAGACTGAAGAGTGCTGGAGGAGAGCCGACTAGTGACAAAGCAGCTGGAGGGGGTGACGGAGACGGGGGGAGACGGAGACGAGGAGAGACACCAGGCCTGCATTTAATGGCAGCGTTGACAGCCGACGCATGGCGGGCGCTGGCATCTGTCATACATGCATGTCATACGGCAAATAGCTTAACTGTCATAAAAACAACAAGTGGGAAAGGGCGTTGGAGCTGGCGAGAGGGAGAGGAGAAGATCGTAAAACGGTTTAATACAGGGTGTAGCTGTCGGGGTGGGTGGGGTACTGGTATGAGAGATTGAACGTACAAATTCCTTTTCTCCTGCATGTTTGTTGATTTCCAAACATCCATATATTATTTTTATGTTTCATTTGATTTATTTATTAACTACACACCGCTGCGTCCCCTTCGACAGTACATGTATGCTCTTTGCCCCTCTCACTCACTCTCTCCTTCTCTATTGCACATATGTAACTTCTGCTGCTGGTGCTGCTCATTCTTCCTCTTCTTCAGCTTCTGGTCAAAACGCCAACGCCTCACACATACACAACATAGTTGTGTGCGAGTTGGGGAGGGGGTTTAATAATAGCACACACTCACACACTCGAGTTATAAAAGCTCCCGCTGGAGCCGTAGGTCGGCGAAAGATGTTAGAAGAGGAGGAAAGTGGAGAGAGGAGAGACAGAGATGGAGTATAGAATGCAGCACTAAAAACTTCAACGACTCCTCTTCGCACGCCCCCTGCACTTCCGCACTCTACTGGCAAATATCAAACGAAGAGAGAATCAGAGAGAGTTAGAGGGAGAGGCAAAGAGAGAGCAGCAGCTGCTGAATGGCAGCAAAAATCACAAAAGCAAATACAAACAACTTTCTTACTAACACATATGCACACATTCGCCCCCCCTGCCTTTCCACTAGGACCATAACGCTAAAGTTTTGTGTGTGCGTGGGTGGAATGGTGAGGGGTTGGGCACTGCCGCTGCCGCTGCCACAATAATGCTCTTGTTGTCTGCGGCAACCGGGAAAAGAGATGGCAACTGGCAACAGTTATGACGGGGAGAACGAGTCAGAAAGCACAGGAAGTTTGTTGTTGATATTTGTTGTTATTGTTTTTCTTTCAATTAACACTATGGAAAGGGTAGAGCAAGACAGACAGACAGCGAGGGAGGTAGCAGATGAGAGCGAGTCAGAAAGAGAGAGAATCATACAATTTAACTAGATACTTTTTTGCATAAACAGTTTCTTATACAACGAGCCCTGCAATACACAATTTTGTTTATTAAATATTATTACTGCATGATGCAGCACACACTCAAATTCATACACACACACATTAATAATTTATGACGCGTACCTCTCTCACATTCGGTTCCACCTCCAAGTAGACGCCGCCTCGGCGAGCGCAACAACAATTAGGTGTGGATGACGTTTGTGCAGGGAGTTGGGCGGGGGTCAGAAATGCAATCAATGCACTCCTACTGTTGTTGTTGTTGTTGTTTCCGCCTCTGCTGCGACGACACTTTGACGTTTTTACTTTGTATTTGCAAACACACACACACACACGTCGCGGCGCTGGCTTTGCTTTATTTCAAACACACTTTAATTTGCTTCTTGGGCTTTTGTTTTTTACCGACACGCAAAGACACAAAAACACACAGAGAGAAGAGCTAAAGCGCGCGCACGGCCGTCCGTTTTATTTTCGAGACGCGACGAGTTAGTTAGTGCTTTGGATAACTTGGTCGGTACGACTAAAAGCCCCGTTGATTCGTGGACTTCACGGAGCTTACCGGTTGGATTTAGTGTGACCGTCCGTGTGAGCAGCTGGCGCGCACAATTAAAAGCGTTATCACAAAGTAATTATATTGGCCCATAAAAACACACAACAAAATGTTCAATTGCAGATGGAAAATAATTGAAAATGGTTTTGGATTTGTACAAATAGTGGGGAAGTCTTATTGGTTTTTTCCCATTTGGCGTGCTCTGCTCATTTTTGCGTGAGCAGTAATTATCCATAACAAATATTGACTGCCCGTGAAGAATATACCAAAATATAGCAACTAATTTTCAAAACTTGCCATAAATATACCGAAGAAAATCATATTCTCCGATTTTACTATTCTGTTTGATATTGCCAGCAAGCTAAAGCTTTCAGAATTAAAACTATAATTTTATGCGATTGATGAATCAGTTGTCCTTCAGATTGGTTAGTTTTTAGGACTTTCTTTTATTGTATTGCTAACAAGAGTTCGCAGCTGAATCGACCGTTAAAAGCTTACTGCTGATTTTTGAAATGATGCAACGGGAAACAGCAATAAATATAACAATAAATGGTCGGAAGACCGTTTTGTGTTACCTTTCTTGATATATTCAATTGATAAAGACATTTATTATGACTTCGTTCGCATTGCAGCCGATAGACAGTAGTCGTCCTGGGAGTTCATGAAGGCACAGCTGCCATTCAGGCGGTACTTAGTAGCTAGGCACAAATTCGGTAGATAATATAATCATCCCAATCATGTGTGAGTTTGTTGACAGATAGAATACACAAATGGATAAATACTTTTTGCGGCACAAGAAAAACCGAAGACGCTGACGAAGAGACGAAGAGAGCGTCGTAAGAGTACCTGTTAGAGGGGCGGGCTATAACACAGGGGTACGAGGCGAGTTTGATAAGGTCTCGTTTTTTTGCTGCGTGACGTTGTAGTGCAAAGTGCTGGTACTCTTGTACACATGTGTCACCCTGTCAAAGCACTAAGCAAACTGATTTGTTTGCTAGGGATCAAAGTTATTTGCACATGGAATCCCCTTAGAATATTCAAAATTTCTGCATAAGAAAGGGGTCGATTCGGGAGCGTTTTACTAGGCAATTAATGTTATTTCCCCTTTTCGTGATTCAATTTTCGCAATTTCTGAGTGCTCCGAATTGAGTGAAAGCTTTTGCAATAATCAATTCATTGATAATGCTATCTAGCCTTATCTGCCACAGCACAGAGCAATGAAGTAGCAAAGACCAAAAACTGTTTGCTAACATTGCAGTTCTTTTTACCCGCTCAGCACCAACGGAAGCACGAAGGTGGCTCCCAATACCATTACTTAATCAAAAGAGCTAACATCGAAAGAGCAGAACAGCAAAGATCCTTTCGAAAATGCCACAGACCAAGGTGAGTAATAAAGGTAATTAAGTAATAAAATAATTCTACTTACGTTGCTGACAACATAAATGGCATAATCGGATCCGGCTGTCAGTAGTTTTCTGCTGTTTTGAGATAACTCAAGGTCTATAAATCATAGGGAACCTGTGATTTTGACGAAGGTGTGACACAACGATCTAAGGCGATAGGTGGAGGAGTTCTTTGTAAATCAAAAAGTGCACTTTAAAACAACGTCTAGGGTTCCTTCCCTATGAGAGCGTGTTTATCGCTTAATTCTTGGCATAAACTTATTCATTCCCTTGGCATTTTATCTAGGAGCTTTAATTGAAACTTGTAGTTTGGTTTAGCATGTTTCGTATCAGCAAAAGATCTGGCTCGAGCTGATAAGAGGAATTAGCCAATAAATATAATGAAAGTTGTACTTTATCGATTTGCTAAAAAGGCAGAGGTCGTTGCAGAAATTTGCAACTAAGGAAGCTAAAATGTATATCTATATAAACAGGGTCTAACATTTAATCTGTTTTAGCTACCACTGTCAATTATTGGCTGGCTGCTCGTGCTGCTCACGACAGTCCTTGCGGACACGGACACGGCGACGACAAACAACACAATTGTGGTGCACACGCCGCTGCAAAACTATGAGCAGCCGACGCTGCGCGACTACGAGGAGTGCCAGTCGAATCGGGACAAGTGCGTGGAGGTGTGCGACGGCGATGAGGACTGCCAGGACGAGTGTCCTGTGTGCCCGGAGCTGTACGACAAGCCGCTGATGGTGCAGGGCGTCAACGACACGAATGTGCTGGCACCCGCCCAGACGCCCATCAACACGACGAACATTATTCGGCTGACGAACGAGATCAGCAACATTATCCAGCACGACATTAAGAACCGCAACGAGGTGTATGTCCAGGTGCAGCAGAATGTCTCGCAGGTGGGCGGGCGCTTTGGTTTGGGCTACACGGACCAGGGCTCCTGCTGCTATGTGGTGCGGCGATCGCGCGAGTGCGAGCACAAGGACAACTGCCAGGAGCGGAGTCGCCAGCGAGTGTGCGGTGAGCGTTGTCAGGCGCGTGTGATGCTGGCCAAGCGTGTGGTCCAGTGCGATGCGGATGAGCCCACCAAGTGCCACGAGACCATCGAGTATGTGCCGCGCAGGCGCAGAACCGCTGTGCATCGCAGCGAGTCCAATGCCAGTCCCTGCCGCTACTTGGGCAACTCCTGGCCCTATGTCAGCTGTGGCCAGGGACAGCAGCAATGGCAGCGCGTGAAGCGTTCCAGCTGCCAGCAGTGCCTCAATCTGCCTTACGGCTATGTCATGCAGAACGGACTGCCCGCCCAGTGCTCGGGCTGCTTCCAAGGCTATGCGGCGCCCTTCCAGCCGCTGTACTACGCTCCCTACGCGCCCTTCAATCCCTATCCACAATATGCACCATTTGCACCACTGCCCAACAACCACAACAACAACATCTTTCATGGCTCTGGAGAGGAGGAGTCCAGCGATGATGCTGGACCCACCCACGGAGATTGGGTGATGTGCGAAAGCGAAAACATTGAGGATTGCCTCAACAATGCCGATGGCAAGGGCAAGCCTGAGCAACCCGAACAGCTGCCACAGGAACAGCGACCCGGCCCTATCGTTGATTATACGGACGATGACGATTACAACGTGCCGGTCCAACGACACCGTCGCCGGCGTCAGAATGGTCGCGAGTTTGTGCGTTCCCTCTACAGCAAGCGGAATTAAGCTTCAACAAAAAAACGATTCCCATCTTAAAAATTCTCTAAATTGTCTCTTAATCTTAATGCTCTTAATCTCTCTCTCTCTCTCTCTCTCTAACCATGCCATATTCCCATGATTTTATCTGCCATAATGTATTCATATTTTGTCATGTAATAATTTCTTTCTTAATAAAAATTGCATTCTAAAAGGAGCTTGGGCGGTTTGTACTGGCAGAATTTCCCACAAATAGTTAGTGCGAAAGCAACAGGGACAGCACTTATCGCCACCTTTAGCTAAGGCATTGGCCAGGCATTCATAGTTAATAAATAGAATGATAAGTGGTAGTCATAAAGATTAACTTCTGTCAACCACTGTGAAAGCATTGATCACTACAGTAGAAATGTCTAAAGTAGAGGCTGCTATCAGAGGTGTACTCTAGATTTCACGCCATTGAATATATAATGAAGAGAATGAATCTTCTACCATTAAGAACGTGTTATCCGCTTATAAAACATACTTAAAATAAACAAATGGCAGTCTGACTGTACTTTAAATAACGATTTATTTGATAGGCAGGGAGGTGTAGAGCACAGGGCACAGGCGCCCTTTAGGGGTCGCCTTGTGGCTACTGCTTATAGACTAAACAACGTTCAATAAAATGTACTTCCTCATGCTTTAATGGTTCCGGTTAACAGTTGCTAGACGATCTCTAAATATAGATATTTATATACTCAATTGGATTTCTGATTTAAAGACATTCCGTTTTTGCATTTTGCAATGTTTGCACTTTGATTTGCATATAAAGGTAGTTGTTTCTTTTTTGTATGGTTAAAAAGGGATGGGAGGACGCTAATCCCCCTACGTAATTTGTCGGAACAATTGATGAAACGAAATTACTAGAACTTATGGTAATATTGCGCGTATGTTGGTTTGTTCGTCACTAATTTGAAGGTCCACAAAAAGTTCTTCTACTTGATGCCCAATTCCTTGAGTTCGGTCTCTTCGTCCACGGAGTCCTCATCGTCGGAGCCATGCACAGATGGCGCTGGTGTGGTGTGACCTGTGAGGAAGGACAAGAACAAAAGTGAAAATTCATACATTGGACGGTGCTTTGCTCTGCTTTATTTGGACATACGCGATGAGGTGGGGCTGGGCGGTTCACTGTGTGGGCGCGAGAATACCAGATTACTGCGCGAGCCATAGATCGCCGACTCGTCCACATAGTCCGGATAGACGGCCTGCAAGGCCTTGACCCTGGCCTGTCTGTAATACTGCAAAATGCGAAAACGAAAACATGGGGAATCATGAGATGGAAACTAGAGATTGAAGTGCGATGCGTACAATGCCCAGGGTGCGCCAGTCAAGCAAATCACTGAGACGCTCCGTGCGATTGCGCTGAATGATGCGCTGGCGGCGATTCAGACGCGAGAATTCCATCATGAATGTGGACAACTGCTGGATGCTGTCCTCGAGTCCGATGTAGCGACGATCGACAATGTAGATGCCATACGACTTGGGATCACTGATGTGCTCCTGCATGAAGCAGCCAAAGCCCGACAGGTTTGTGGTCACACTGGGTATGCCCATGACGGTGCACTCGGCGGGTGTGTAGCCCCAGGGCTCGTAGTAGGAGGGGAAAACGCCCAAGTGGCAGCCGCGCACAAACTCCTCATAGTCAATGCCAAAGAGGGGATTGGTGGATGTTAGGAACTCTGGATGGAAGACCATCTTAACGCGATCGTGCACCGAATTGAAGAGATGACAGCGACGAATCGAGGCCAGCACCGGATCGTTCCAGTCATCGGCGACATTGTGCGTGGTCACCGGCGGCATAGAGTCGCGCTGCATGGCGTACATGCAACGCTTGATCTTCACCAGATCATCCTTCTCCAGCAGATCGGCTGAGTTGGGGAGATGGCCCTTCAGGCAGGTGTCGAACATGCGCTTGCCCACCGCCTGCTGCACATTGTTGATGGTGTCACGCAGCTGCTTGATCACCGCATGGCCACGCAGCGAGTCCACATTGAAGTTGTTCGTCTTGGTGGGAAAGATGAGGAACGCCACCACCGTGGTGTCGGGACGCTCGTGCTTCAGCATCGCATTCAGACGCGCCAGTGCCTCAATGAAGATGTCGGCGCCCTTGTTGCCGAACTCGTAGCGACCGGCAATGAAGAAATACATTGTCTTGTCCAAATCAAAGTCCATGTGGCTGCAGGGAGCACAAAAATAATGAGTGTTTCCATGAACAAGGAGGAGCTGCTGTCAGCTACTCACCCATAGAAATGACCGCGCACAAATTCGTTGATCTTCTCCTTGGCGACGGCATGCATGTTCTGGAACTCGTGTATGGCCGAAAACTTCTTCACATTTAGGCCGTTGGGCGTGATAATGTCCGGCTTGCGCTTGAGCAGATGCTCCGCCTCGAAGCCCGTGATTTCCGAGACGGTGGTGAAGACATGCGCCAAATGCGTGGCGCCACGCTCCAAACAGTACCGATGATAGATCTGCCGCTTGCCCGCCTCCTCGTCTACGGCAAACTTGTCCAGGTTGTTGTAGAAATCAGTATTGCCAGCGCACAAGTAGCGACCCAGCAGCGTGGCATGGGTGGTGAAAACGGTGGCAATCTCCACGAGTCGTGTGCGCAACACAATCAGACCCACGCCGGCCTGCCACTCATGGAAATGGGCGACGATCCGTGGTGGATTTAGGTCATGGTTCTGGGAGTATGTGACCGCAAAGTTGCGAAACTCCTCGAGAAACTCGGCGATCATGAAGCCCAGAATAATGGCATCGTTCGTCTCGATATCCAAGTGGGGTATGCCAATGTGGCACTTCTCCCACATCTCCGACTTGAACTGGTCCAGCTTCCACGCAGCGGAGCCAATGTCGAACAGAATGAGCTGCGGATTGCCGTCCACCAGCCAGCGTCCCGTGTGGATCTTGTAGCCGCGCGAGCGCATCGAGTTGACAGCATCGAGCAGGGGATTGCCGCGCGGGAATTCCATCTCCTCCATCTCTGTGCGGGCGCAGACCTCCTTGTAGGGTCCCATCATGCACAGCTGCTCGCCCATCTCCTCGGTGGAGACATACGCCTTGGACCGGATGACTGTGTAAATGCCACCCACCTTGTTGGCCACCTCCCATGCCACCTCAAAGTTCCAGCGGTTCTCGCGCGATGCAATATCTCCACGATCGAAGTAATCCTTCAGGTCCACACCGGACTCCACTCTCGAGAAGCGACGATTCATCTGCAAAAGAGTCATTTGAAGGTACAATTAGATTCGATCATGGATTGGTGGGGGTTCAAGTGTTTGGCATAACCCTTAGACCATATGGGGAGGCGTCTTGATCTTCAAACCGATAGGACATCTGTCGACGCATAATGCTCCTGATATGCTTGCTCGGATCGGTTCGAATCTGTTCTGGTCGTCAACAGAGAACTGGAACGTCTAAACCTCTCCGCTGAGCCACTCGTTGCGCACTGATAGTGTCAACTAATTTTAGCCACCGGCTTGACCCACATTACAAGCTGCGCCTTCGTTCGCCTTATCTCTGCCGTATGATGTGTCTGCTGTGCCTGTGCCCGTTCCCATGCTCATGCTCATGCTGCTCCTCCTGGTCATCGCCCGTTGCATCATCGTCAGGCTGCATTTCACGGCCCAGCAACGATAAGGCCTGGCTGGCGACATCGCCAGCCCTGTCCCTGACACTCACCGGCCGTATGGTTCAGCCATTTGTTTGCTTATGCCATTGGACTGCACACACACTCACAAATTTTTGGCCACCCTATTTTTAGATGCAGGAAATGGTCTCCGCATCATCGGACAATCTAACATGAGTTTGCCAATTTTTCTTGCTTGTAGCCATAAGATTGCCACACGTTTTCGTTGCAACGAAACGCCTGATGGCGCCTTCAATTTCCAGAGCCAAACACACACTTTAAAGGCATGGATTTCAATTTTCCATTGAAAATATTATGTTTTAAAAGGTTTTCATACTTTTTTTTGTAATATTTTAAAAGCAACAAAAAATTCTCTAATTTTGCGCTATTATTTTCACAATATTTTATTTTTGAATAAGCTTTCTATTTTGGAAACTACTGGAGAATGTTTCATCTCAACTGATGTATTTCTATTTTTGTTTGTTTCATTTATACATAATTGAGACACTTTTCTTGAATGACCTTGAACAAGGCAAACCGGCATGAACTACATATGCATACATACGTACATATGTACAAATGCTCGAAGAAACATTGAAACTACTTTTTTTTTGCTAATCTTGAGTCTGATTATCGGCCCAACCGATCGTTAATATGACAATCACAAAGTGATCCCAGCTTTTGTACTCCGCAAAGACTCAACACTATCTGGATCACACAGTTTATATATTTTATCACTCAGTTCTTTAATTACACTGCTTATTATCTGCTGTCACTGTATGAAATATGTTGTAGGAAGAAGCTACATAATTATGTACAATTGTAATATGTATGTACATATGTAAATCCATACATACTTCTTATTCTCTTCGTTTATCTCCTCACACAGCTATTATCTTGCTTTCACCACAGATTTTGTTTGAAAACACGGATATGCGGGTATGAGGAAAAGCAATTAACGCAGAGATGAGAGAGGCAGGAAGGAAGGCAGGTATGCCAAAAAGTAAAAGTGCAAAGAGCACGACAATGAGAATGATGGCAAATAGCAGAACCTGCAGCAGCATTCAGCAATAAAATCTTTCTCAATTTTCTTGGCAAGTTTCTTACATTTTTATTTTTATTCAATTATTCAATTATTCAATTAGAGCACTGTCCCTACGTCTCGTTCTTGCATCAGTACACACACGCGCGGGCTCCTAGTTGTCTTCTTTTCTTTCCACCCCGCTGCCTGCAGCGACAAAACTCCAAAAATAACAGCCAGGAAAGGAAGAGGAAGAGAGAGAGAGACCCGACCTCAAGTGTCGCAGCAGAGGCCCGAAAGAAATTGTCTGATACCCTGGCAGAGGGTATATACCACAATGCAGTTCACATACACATGTTTGTCTATCATAACTGTTAACTGTTTACTTGAAACTTAGATCAATATGTTTCCACTTTATGTTACGAACGAAGCATAGGTGAGGGTATCACAAGACTCGACACCCGAAGTTGGTCTTTCTCCCATTCTTGTTGTTTTTTTTCATTGCCAGAACGGAGGCGTCG